GCGTATTTGTGACTCTGACACTTGTGTGTGTTTTCGACACTTGTGTGTACTCATGACTCTGACACTTGTGTGTGGTTTCGACATGTGCGCATGAGGTGTTGAAAAAACTCTCCTGTGCGCGTATCGGTTGGGAGCCACCGCCACTATAATTTTTGCACACTATTACGCCCATACTGTCCTATAACATGGAGCTGCCGGTCCTGTATGTAGAGGATGTCCGTGACAGATGACGCATCTCCTCTCTGCGCCGTAGTACCGAACTAATACTCATGGGTATAGTAGGGTATTAATAAGTGATATAGGTCTACAAAGGGAAATGTGAACGGAATGGAAGATGTCATCGGACTGATTCTGGCGTTCACAGCCTTTTTAAAGAGCTCCATATATCGCCTTCGGAATGTCCATCATCTGTACACCTCTGTGCTCTTTTGTCTTTCCCCCTTACCCGCGTATAGCTGGCGTTCAGAAGGAAATTACATCCTCTGCATAATATTCATGTCGACATTCAGCCAATTCGTCGTCCCGAAACCCACGTTCTCCGTTGACGACATACCAGACCTCTCCGGAAAGATCATCATCGTAACCGGAGGTTACACCGGCATTGGTAAAGAGACAGTGAAAGTAAGTTAATTAGTAGGAATATTGGATTGTAGCGAACGCACTTGGTCATCCGTCCTCTGCAGTGCTCACTCCCCTGGCGTGTGTAGGCTCTCTTGATAAAGAATGCGAAGGTATACATCGCCGGTCGTAACTCAAAGAAAGCGGAAGACGCGATTGAAGATCTACGCACGACGACAGGAGGTAAGGAGGCGGTGTTTCTCGAACTAGATCTTGCAAACTTGGAGTCTATAAGGAGGGCAGTGCGAACATATCTTGGGTGCGTGCATATAAAGTTCTACTCTTATATATACTTTCTCCATCTTTCGTGTAACTTACTTCTTTTCGTATACACTTCAGGAGAGAGGATTCCCTGCACACGCTTTTCAACAACGGGTATGTCCAGAACATGTCACTCTCGGGATAGCGTACTGGTTGAGTGAGCTTGGCTGTATAGGGGCGTCATGGAACCGCCCATTGATCAAATCACCACAGATGGGTACGATCTCCAGTTCGGTACCAACGTTATCGGTAAGTGTATTTGTGCGCTCCAGATCTTGGAGTTCTTTCACCCAGCCTTGAGCGATATGACTCACGTACTCTTCCAGGGCATTTCTACCTCACCAAACTTCTCCTCCCTATCCTTATCTCCACCGCGGAAATCTGCGGGCCATCCTCTCCCTCAAGGGTCGTGAATACGGCCTCCTTTGGACATACATTGACGAAGAAATTGGACTTTGATAGTTTTAGAGATGGAAGGGTAAGAAGGAATAAAGGGAGCGCAGAGCTGTATTATCAGAGTAAGCTTGTGAGTCCATATCTATTTTCCAATTTCACGCTATTCTTGTGATGCGAACACCAAGAGTGAAATGACAGGGCAATGTGGTGTTCGCGACGGAATTGGCTAGGAGGTACGGTTCGAAGGGGATTGTAGCCACGTCCTTGAACCCAGGTAAATGTGTCACTCCGTGCATTTTCCCCGTGATTCATATAAGTCGTGCTGAAGCGTCTCTCAAAAACGGCGCGCATAGGTAACATAGTCTCCGATCTTAGTCGCTCTCTCGGACTTGTCAAGACGGTGATGGTGCGCACTACAATATTCATTTGGCATGACGAAAGATTATATTGATCTATCTCGGACGCTTATAGGCAAAGATTATCACATACCCGACTCCGTACGGCGCCCTCACACAGCTCTACGCAGGAACCATGCCGGATGGCATAAATATGAACGGAAAGGTGTGTTGATATCTCTCTCTCTATTCCTGTAACATAACATATTTATGATCTTCGGTTACGATCTGGGTTCCAGTACTTGATACCATGGGCTCGAGAAGGAACACCAACGCCTGAGTCTCAAGATCGAGAAACCGGGAGGAAGCTGTGGGAGTGGCTTGAGGAGGAGATACGCACATTTGAGGGTCGTGAACATACTGATTTGCACAGTTGAGTGACAGAGGAAGGAGGTATGAAGATGTGTTGTTGTTGTTGATATTGCTGTTGTCCTTCCCTGGTCTGAATATATACCTGTCCCGTATAATCAAGCTGTAAGTAGCAGTGTTGACGTATAGTGATGGCAACACCAGGCGGTAAGTATTTGAATCTTGTACCTCGCGATACTGGGTAGTTTACTGAATTTCTAGTCAATCATTACCATCCTTACTATACACTCTCATCCGAGGCACTGTCGATAGCAAGACAACATAAATAGTGGCGCAAGCCTGCCGTGTACGCTATGTTGGCGGTCTGACAGTCCGTGTTACCCGCCATGCACATCCCACTAGATCTGGGCATCGCCTGACATCGCACTCCCCTACTATACTGGTAGACTTTCCTTATGGTACAAGTCCAGAGTGTGGTGTTTCTGATCTTTGTCTTTCACGGCGCCGAGACCATAATTTAACAGTGCCGACAAAGAATGCGAAAGGTATCGCGAGTCATATTGTTTCGCATATAGCACTCGCTGATACGAGTGTTATTCGATGGCGCTACCGAGGCACAATCCGACAATAGGCAACCCGGAGGGTTGCGAAAGAAATTCTTTCGGAAATTTGCCGACTTTTATACCTTCGTAGGCCTTGCGAAAGGTAATAACTCGCATTGTCTTTCGCTTGGGGACAAGAAAAGTCGTCCCGCATGCGATATGTTACGCGAGATGTAAAGTTTCACATCACCTTTCGCATTCTTTGTCGGGGCATTTAAATCATGGTCCCGGTGCCGTGTTTGCTGAGCGCAAATTAGCGTGTGGCGGTAGCTTTTAGCTTACCGTGCGCACCACAGTACTCCTGACTCAATAGTTCCTAGCGTGCATGGATTAGCTCAGCTAGCTTGCGTCTGGCCTACCCTGTCTATTACTGTCGTCTGCTATGTATCTGGTTTCTGCTCGTCAGTTAGGTCGTGGCTCTTCTCACGGCCACCTACGCTTTCGTCACCGGCTGCTTCTGTTAGGGCGCGTTCGGCAACCGGAAACGATGCAGCGTTGCTCTGCCAAAAAAACGAGAAACGATGCACGCCTGAGCCGTCGGGAAGCTCAGGGGCTGCAGCGCTTCTCCGTGTTTGGGCGGAGCAACGCTGCAACGTTGATGGCAGCCGAACGCGCCCTTATGAAAGTCAGTGAACGATGTACAACGTATAGGGAAGACAATCAAGCAGCGAAAGGGGGGTATGCTCACTCGCTTGAGTGTTTATAAGGTTGGGCTGCTCCTGTCGAAGTCATACGCCAGTGAAGAGTACGTTATCTACGCGTAGGATGGAGCGGGAGAGGAAAATACAGGCTGGCATCACACGCAGTGCCACTTATCGTTAGCACCACGCCACATAGGATGAAGTGGAGGATGTGCTCATGATTCTGACGAGTGGATGCGAGGCGCCGTTATCGTGCAGTTCATTCTCAAACAGCGGAATACCAGCGTAGAAAAGGATAGCGTTGCATAAGCTCAGCGATGGGAATCGTATGAGCTGGATTAGACTTGTTGCCTTTTACTCACTCAACCCCGTGTTGCTCAACCCCGAGAAAGTGTGGCCCGCATAGATCGTGGTGTAGGTCAAGTCGTAAGGTTTTGTCAGGCATCAGGACTTGGGAGTTCGGTTCAATTCTTTAAGCAGAAAAAAATATGCACTATGATCAAGAAATCCCTCAGAGATCGACAAGGTGAGAAAAACCTACCGACTCTGCACAAACTTCTTATCAAGGCATATCATCCGGCACCATGCAAGTCGCTCTTGCACAACGCATCCATAACGGAACCACGCACCTTCACGAACACCAGCCTCTAGATCCAATACTTCCTTCTATCTTCTTTTCGACGCAACTCGGATTGTTAGTACCAGTACAGAGGTATTTCCTACGATGCAACTCACTATAACGCAGCGCCGGTGGTCGAGGGAAACGTAGATGGCATCAAAAGCTTAAAATAGACCAGCGAAGATCTGAAATGGGACGTACACTGATAATGAGCGAGAGAGACCAGAAAACATTCTGACGGACGGCACCAGGATCGGGCTCAAATAGAGCTGGTGAGGAGATGTTCAAGTCAGTTGGCGAAATACGACTGAGCTGGATGACAATCTCCCTCAGGTTAGCTAGGAGCTCGTTGGTACGAAGACTAGGGTCTTCCGAGAGTCCATCGGACGCCTGCACTAAAAATGAAGTCACAATCGCGGAGAAAAAGCGAGCTGTTATCGCAGAAAATCAGCCTAGAATCACTACAATGGCGAGTGGCAACTAACAAAAATGAGCAGATTATCCAAAGTACCTCTCCAGCGCTCCACGTCCGGCTTGACAATATTCTCCACGGTGGAATGTAGAAGTGGATTCCAGGCACTCGAGCTGGTCCCAGAAACCTCAGGCATTGGTTTCTCGAAGAATCTGTTTGGGTGACAGCAGTCAAGTCGAGGCGTCTGATGAGTCACCGTGAGAAGACGACTTACCCAGCTCCTCTTCTCTATTATCGATGTGCTTCAATATATCTACATAGGAGTGACAAAGTCTAGCAACGAGGCAGATAAAAAGGGGGCAGCGTAGCTACTGAAACGTACCAATCATCTTGCTCTGCTGCTTGATGACCTCGTTCAGTGCTTCCATCAACTTCGCCAATGGGTCTATGAAACAGGATCGGTGTCGGAAAATGGCAAATGCAACAGATGGAGCTCACATCATCGATTCATGCTCGACTTCCTGGCGGTATTTCGCAGTACTCTCCGGATTGGAGATATCTCTTTCACTACACACAATATGAATCAGAGACTTATGACATCGATGCTAGTGAAAAAAAATACGGTGAGGTGCACGTGTCGTTTGGCCTGGTCTCGCTGATTATGTTTGACTGATTCCTTCAATAGGGGGGCGGGGGTGGGAGTGGAGAGAAGTACGGCGAGTTAGTTTGAAGATCATATAAGTATTCAGGAAGAACGAAATGAGACACACGGTGTAAGTATCGTTATCCTTCGGAAACAAATCGTCAGTGGGTCAAAGTACTGGGCACAGTATCGGAAGCTGCTTACAGCGGGGTTTCCACCGCAGCACCCTCTTCCGTACAGGCCGATATGTCTTCCATTTCGACGTATGCAGGGGTACTACAATCAGGAGGGTAGCCAATACGACTTGGATTGGTAGAAGGGAAGACGATGAGGGCGTGCGGAGGAAAGAGAGCAATGTTCATCTGTTTGATTCGGCGATGTGCGTACATTCCTTACCAATGTGTCGTAAGGTATCGATGATTCGGTGGGAGCGGACCACGTACCAAAAGCTTGAAGGTCGCCCATCGATCTATGAATTTGCACCTCAACGTAGGACGGCGTGTGAGGATGCTGGCAAAGAATCTTGCCACGAGGGTTCCCACCAGGACGCGACGTAGGCTCCGTAGCCACCATGGGAATCTCTCGGAGTAAATGGGATGCTGAGGTTCATGAGAATCCTGAAAACTAAGGATGTGTAGGCCGTTGGATGGTTGGAGTTGGAAGCTCGCAAGGAAGTAGTTGGGTGGACTCATAGACCTTTAATCAGCGCCAATGAACACGGCACAGCACCGATTGCGTCTGGTTTAACCGAGAACAATGAGTTCTGCTGTGGTCTGATAGACGAAAGCAGCAATTCGGGGGGAAATAAGCTATTAATATATATGATATGGGTACTGTGCTCCACGAACCTCTTCCTCTGCGAATTCTCTGGCCTCTTGAATAGATCACAATCACCGTACGAACAATAGGAAGCACATCTACTCACTACTTGCTCGCTAGGCAACCATTACAAAAACAGCAGCCTAAACTCTCCTGTGGCCTCTCGAACATTTTGCACATTCGCGAAAATGTCGCCTGGAAATCAATTTCGGCGCCCGACGCGTGACGTCACAGATGTTTCAAATAATTTGACGCCCAGACTCGACGCGTCGAGAACGGGCGCTAAAATCATCGGAATCATCATCACTGTCACCGTTATCGTCGTCGACGACGGCCTGCCGAATTTACATCTTATCCGAATTGGCGCTATCGAGTGACTTAAATCTCGATTCTTGACCCTCTATCTAAGCTATCTCAGACGAACCTGAACAAGGCTCAGCTCTCCCGCGCTTGGCCGATTCACCGCTGGAGCCGTTCAACCATGTCGAACGAGTTAACATAGTCTCGTACCAAACGGTTACATCCACCCTAAAAGGGAACCCGTCTGTAACCGTCTGGGTCACTTCCAGCGGGTTTAGAAGACCCTTGCGTTCGGCGGTTTCGGGCCTTGGTGGGCTCGCGGGAATCAGCTCCGAGCACGCGATATGATCGGAAATGGAAGGTGTTAGGCGGCCAGACCCCAGGTGGTATTTATATACACCCGGCTACCTTTCGTATCCTAGCCTTTATGGCGGAGTGGCTATAGCTGTCGACTTGTCGCCGATGTACCTTTTGTTGGCCTGCCGCGTTTGTTTTTTCATCCCGTTCACTCGGTCTTGCAGACATTACTTTCAGGTCCAAAGCACTCAATTGATATATTTTGGCGCGGATGTTGGGTGTTTATTGCACAAAATCATGAATTGT